TGGGTGACCACTTGGATCAGTCTGCGTAGGGACCGAGGGTGTGCGGTATTGGTCCTCGTTAAACTGTGCTACCGTAAAGTGCTCGACTTCGCGCGCAGGTCGTCGGGCTACCGAAGCGGGGGTGCCATCCCCTCCGCAGAGGATCAAAATTGTGATGGCATGTCTTCGGATCATCCTCCGGGATGCTTCCCAGACCGTCGCCAATAGCCCATTGTGCAGCTCTAGTGTGACGTAAATTAACAACATTATTTTTAACGTATTGCATTACATTGTTAAACAATTGGTACATCAACGTAAAAATATGCAAACCGATTTGAGCCTCGTAAAAACAGTAAAGCTATATAGTATCACCTCATTATTAGGATTTTATATAAAATCTTATAGTGCGTCTAATAATTTGGCCAGGGACCGTAATTGCATTAAACATTTTATCATGTAGGCATTTAGAATTTTATATAAATTTCAACGAAAAGGAATTGGGGAAATTTATTTTCTTCGATTTCATTTTTTATATTAAAATGAAATGAAATTATAACAAATTGGATTACAACTAATTCACCAAACTACTTTTGAATACTACAATATTTATGGAATCATATTAAATTTAAATAATTGTATTTTTTTTTTATTAAGAAAGGTAAATGTATTAATACATTGTCTTATAGAAGTCAATTTCATTGAGAGATACATGAAATAATTTCTTTTACCTTAAATTTGAACGACTGCTTTACACTTATATCCCACTTTGTGTTTAAGATATGCATTTGCTTAGATTTAAACTTTATAAAAAGCTTTTTTTTTTAAGTATTTCCAAGTTTTTATTTTCATCTTTAAGAAAATAACTTAAATAATAAAAGGATATTACTTAAATAAATTATCAAATTAATTTTTTGAGAAGTTTAAATTACAATTATTTAACAAAATAAGTTATTCGCAATGTTAATTCCTTTTTGGAGAAACACAGTCTGTAAAATGTCTCCTAACTTTAATTTTTTTAGCATTTTTTGTAGAAATAGGATCGATAAATAAAAGAGTCTGGACCGTTAAATACAAATTCAGTGTTTAACCCTTTGTTGTCGCCATATTTTATGAGCGCGTGAATCCATTTTTGGCTCAAAGCCGAGAGGACAATACAAGAGTCAATGGACGTTTTCATTTGGTTGCCAACTTTTTCCACCATTTTAAACAAACATGATTTCTCCTATCTTTACTTTGATTAAAAGAGTTGCATTCAGAATAAGTCATATGACCCTTACGTAATAATTTTTCTGTATATCACATACATAGAGAAAAACATTCTGGTAAAATAACCGTACTGTATGGTAATGGCATTTCTGGTTGAAAAAAACATAATGCTGGTATTGAAAACAATATTATACTGAATTTAAACTATTAATTTGGTTATTTTTCCACTCATAAGTTAATGGTTTACTGGAAAATTCTTGTTCTTAAAATTATATTTCTTATTACTTCACATTCAGAAAAAAATACAAAACTAGTAAGTAAATATAATCGAAAAAAATAGTTTTTATGTTTCGTATAACGAAACAATTATTTAGGTCTATTTAATATCTTTTCTAAAATGGCTGTAGAAATTTCGAACTTAAACGATTTTTATGATGCCGCATACTGTCGTATCAATTATTGATGACACAGATTCCCTTATATATATATATATAAAAGCTTATATATATAAAAGCTTATTATATATATATAAGTTTTTTTTATATATTGTACGAGATAGTTTTGTAAGGTGGTTTATGAAGGCTGCTAATAAAATTTTAAAATGTCAAATCATTATCTTTCGCTTTTATTCAAAAATAAAATATCAAAAATGGCGGAAACAACAAGAATTTTAAACATATTCGTTGCGAGAAAATTGATAACAATTTTCTACATTACTGCTGATTTTTAAAAAAATAATAATACAACACAAATATAAACAAACATAAGTTATTCTCTTTCTCGAAACCCTTTTTCAGTGAAATTTGAATTAGTTTAAAGCAAATACTGGAAGAAAATTTTAAATGTCATTGCTTTTTTATTTTTTTTTATTTGCAATTTAGATCGCAATGAAAATGTATTCATCATTCCTTTGTTTAGTCTATTTTGTTTACATATGACGCGGAATGTTTTAAAAAAATTAAACTTAGAAAATTTAGGAATGCTCTTTGAATTTTCACTAAAACAATCCACCTGTTTAATTTTCGGATTATTAAATCCTTTCACTTTGTCGAAAGATATTGCAATTTATTTTGTGCACGCTATCCTTTTGTGGATAAAAACACATCAGAGACTGTTATTTCATCAAGTATATAAGTGTTGCACAACAGAAGGTTACCTAAACGCTATCTAAAATGAATTTCCTTTTTAAACTAAAATTAAAGAGGAAGATTAATAAAATTATTTACTCGAAATATTACCTAAGAGATAGTAAAATTATTAAAATATATTACCTGAGACATAATAAATCTACCTGAGAGATTAATGAAATTAATTATTCAGGATTTCTATATGTCTAACTTTCAATTCAAGTTCCTATCCTTTCCTTAAAAGAATGAAGTTTATGCCTGTTTAGGTAGAGGGGGTGCGATTGTTCTTGTTTTCCAGTGGCGCCATCTATGACCAAGAATTCGACTTCTGTCACGCCATACGTCACACCCGTTTATAGGGCGGACCCATTCATACATCCATTCATTCGTCCAGAGATCGTAATTTTGACCTGAATCAGAGAACGATCGATCTCCAATCCAGTACCCCCAGAAGTATTGATTTGTTATGGGAACATGCAGGACTTTTGCGACTCGACAGATTTAACGTGCATCAGTCACTTTANACGATCGATCTCCAATCCAGTACCCCCAGAGGTATTGATTTGTTATGGGAACATGGAGGACTTTTGCAACTCGACAGATTAAACGTGCATCAGTCACTTTACTACACAGGGAGTCTTCGGGCGGCGGGGTTCGAACCCACGAACTCTCGGACATGGGCCCAACACCCTACTGCCCAGGCTATCCCGGCCCGGCCATGAAGTTTCAAATACTAAAAAGAAAATTTTAAATATCAAAATGCAAACACATTATTGGCGGGGAACTTCCCTATTGAAAAATACTAAGTTCTCTTGTTGTAATTTTTTTTTCTCATTCTGATATTCTGTAATTTTTTTTTCATTCTGATATTCTGATATTTTCAGTATTTGAAAGTTCTTTTCTAGGTTTGTCTGAACTCATTTTTTCTATACTACAAATTTCAATCTACTTATAGGGGTGAAAGAAAATTGGCGATAAAAATTTTATCAATTTTTATAGCGTCTTCCAATATACTTTTCGTCCTTTAATACTCATACTTCGAACAAATGCTTTGCCGAATATTTCTAAATCTGTAGTTTACAATTTACTGTTGCATTTTTTTCAGGTATAATATTAGAAAATTTAATCCCTGTGAAATGTTAACACGTTCTATTGGCGATAATGTTAAGAAACATATAGTTCTTCATGAATTGAAGAAAAATCTAACTCACATGTTTCAATAAAAGTTTTTTTCTCTATTATACTTTCAACATTTCAATTTTAATGTATATATAAATACATTTTTTTATATACAATTTCAGAGCGACAGAATGCGGGAGGACCCTGGTTCTCAGAGGGAGCTGTGAATCTGACAGTTGCCGAAGGAAGGACGGCTACACTTCCATGCGTGGTAGAAAATATTGGTAACTACAAAGTAAGTACTTTTAGTTTCCAAATCCATTTAGAGACGGGTACTATAATCCAATGTTTTTGAACATAATATATTTCGATAGACGATACCTGCCTCATAGAAAATGTTCTCCGAGAAAATCAGTAAGACCGGATTCTCCATGGGTAAGATAAAAGCCGGAGTTCCACCTATTTGCGTCAAATCAGGCCATCAGACAAGAAACATGACCGAAACTTAATGATAAATAAGTAAATAAAATTAAAAATCATAGCATCCGACTGGACAACAGATTAGACTAAATAGTTGACATTAGCATTCTGGTGAGCAAGAAGAGCATCAAGGTAACAAATGTAAGATTGCCCAAAGAATTCAATAAACTAGCTACCAAGCTCCAAAATATAGCTATTTACACAAACCTGCCATGTCTTGACACACAAACCATTGCTTTCTTGAGCCTCAAACCTGTCATGTCTTGATACACAATACAAGTCTTTTCTTGAGCGTCAAACCTGTCATTTCTTGAGACACAAACCATTCTTTTCTTGAGTCTCAAATCTGTCATGTCTTGATACACAATACCAGTCTTTTCTTGCACCTCAAACCTGTCATGTCTTGACACACAAACCAGTCTTTTCTTGAGATTCAAACCTGTCATGTCTTGATGCACAATACCAGTCTTTTCTTCAGCCTCAAACCTGTCATGTCTTGATGCATAACACCAGTCTTTTCTTGAACCTCAAACCTGTTGCTACCAAGCTCCAAAATATAGCTATTTATACAAACCTGTCATGCCTTGATACACAATACCATTCTTTTCTTGAGCCTCAAACCTGTCATGTCTTGATACACAATACCAGTCTTTTCTTGATCGTCAAACCTGTCATGTCTTGAGACACAAACCATTATTTTCTTGAGTCTCAAACCTGTCATGTCTTGATACACAATACCAGTCTTTTCTTGAACCTCAAACCTGTCATGTCTTGACACACAAACCAGTCTTTTCTTGAGATTCAAGCCTGTCATGTCTTGATACACAATACCAGTCTTTTCTTGAGCCTCAAACCTGTCATGTCTTGATACACAATACCAGTCTTTTCATGAGCCTCAAACCTGTCATGTCTTGAGACACGAACCTGTCTTTTCTTAGTCTTCCCGCTGCATGAACTCATCACTTAATCGCACAATTGGTTATGCTGTAACAAACACTTGCCAATTATCGACTATTTAGCATTACTATTGTTGATTTGGTAAATTACCGCGATACTTACCAATTATTGAAATAAAACTTTTTTTAATCAATCCTTATAATTTGATAAGGAATTTATTATTCAATTTTGAGACTTCTACAATTATTGGAAATTGTGTTATTTCGCATTCTTGTCAGTTAGAATGATTATCCATATTTAACACAATAGTTACAAAATATCAAAATGATACTGCTTTAATTTTTCCCTTTTAGTCTGGTGAGTCACACTTTAGTCCAAAATAATTTCCATTTCAGTACTTACCATTCCATTTTCTATTTCAACATGATTATTTTTCCTGAATAACGTCATAACAGCAATTAAATGTCCTGCACAAAACATAACTCAAGTCATATGATATCTAAAAATGAAACTTATAAAATGTCAATATTCTAAAAATTGAGCAGTTTATTTCGAACTAACATATTAACGTTAAAATTCTTTGAATATGATCCCAAGTCAAACTTTTTGATGGTTTTCCATTGATATAATCTTGATAGTAACCAACATAAGTAATCATCATCTCAATATAGGAATTCGAACTGATTTGTGATGGTTCAACATAAGAATAGCAACTTGTTTTGATGGTTTGTTCACGTTGAATCACCACAAATTTGCATCATAGAATCTTAGAAACCAAATGTTGGAATGATCATGAACCACCATCGTCCAAATGTAGGAATTCGGACTGATTTATGATGGTCTAACATAAAAAAACTAAATTTTTTGATGGTATATTGCTAAGAATCAACAAGAATTCCCACTAAACCATCNATTTGTGATGGTCCAACATAAGAATAGTAACTTGTTTTGATGGTTTGTTCACGTTGAATCACCACAAATTTCCATCGTAGTTTCTTAGAAACCAAATGTTGGAATGATCATGAACCACCATCGTCCCAATGTAGGAATTCGGACTGATTTATGATGGTCTAACATAAAAAAACTAAATTTTTTGATGGTATATTGCTAAGAATCAACAAGAATTCCCACTAAACCATCATGGAATGCATAGTTGCAACCATCATGAACCTTCACGAATCATCATTGATTGTTGGTTCATGAGAGTCAAACTTCTCTTGATGGTTAACCATCACAGTATTAAAGTATCGTTTTCGATCATAGAACGATGTAAGTTTGTTGGCATATCAAAAATCATGAATGCATAATGGAAAATGTTGGATGATGGTGGCCATCTAATGATATTGGATCATCATGAATCGCGCTGAAAACAACATAAGCCATCAAGAATTTTGAATTGCGTAACAATTGGTCATAGTAACCTTTTAAAAATTCGTAAATACTGTAGTCGTCTTTTCAAAGCTTGATTTTTGATGAACTGTGTTACAAATAGGAGAAAAACATCAAATTATAAAAAAAAGTCAAAACTCATAAAAAATTAAATAATTTTGGAATTAAACTAAGAACAGAAAATACTACGTAGTGTAAATTTTTAATGAATAAAAAAAGGAATAAAAGTAGCCATATTTGATGATAAATAAGTAACTGATTGCAATCGAACAGCTTAGTGAAAGAACATGTTTGCAAAAGTCAGCTTCAGAATATATAGAAACATAAGGATGCTATTTGCAAATTATGACTATTCAAGAAAACCATGCAACAGAAATATTTATCAGAATGAGATGACTTTTAAAAACATTAAAAAGAAAAAAAAAATTGTCATCGCGGAGAGGCGATCACTGGTTACCCATTGGCAAAGTGGTTGTTGTCTAACTTTTTATTAAAGGGAATTGTGAATAAAAGAGAATAAGTTTAGGCCTTGGCATCGTTTTTTTCCCTTGCTTCAACTCTAAAATTTGAGACAGTGTCGATCAGTTTGGGACCTTCTTTATTAGTCATATTCATGGGAATTAGTATTGAAAACGATCCAGTTTGAACTGTAAGTCAGAATTTCTAATTCTTAATTAGAACAATAAAAACAAAAATATCGTTCAAATTAACTAAAAACAGAAAATACTAAGTAGTGTAAAATTTTAATGAATAAAAAAACGAAATAAACCAAAGAAACTTTAGTAACCAAATTTTATGATAAATAAGTAACTGATTGCAATCGAACAGCTTAGTGAAAGAACATGTTTGCAAAATTCTGCTTCAGAATGTATAGAAACAAAAGGATGCTATTTGCAAATCGGGACTATTCAAGAAAACCATGCAACATAAATATTTATCAGAATGAAATGACTTTTAAAAACATAAAAAATAAAGAAATTGTGATCACCGAGAGGCGATCACTCCTTACCTATTGGCAAAATGGTTGTTGTCTAAATTTTTATTTAAAGGAATTGTGAATAAAAGAGAATAAGTTTAGGCCTTGGCATCGTTTATTTTCCTTGCTTCAATTCTAACCTTTGGGACAGTGTCGATCAGTTTGGGACCCTCTTTATTTGTCATATTCACCTGAATTAGTATTGAAAACGATCCAGTTTGAACTGTAAGTCACAATTTCTAATTCTTAATTGAAATAATAAAAACAAAAATATCGTTCAAATACTGAAATTCTTTTTTATTCACAGCTCAAGAAGTATTTATGGGATCTCTCTGGTCCCATATCTCAAAAATAAACTCACCCACTTAATGCATAACAAAATTAAAAGCGGAAAAAAGTATTCTGAAAAAAATTACAAAACAGCTGCAGTAGCCATAGCAACGCATGCAATGACGGCGCATACGCACTGTTTACTATCACTATTGAACTCTATTGTAAAGTGTGATGACGTTCAAGTAAGATTCCCTCGCCATCAAACCCTAAACAATACCCATTTTGCCAATGGCTAATAATATCATTTAAATTTCACGGTCAATCCAAACTCAAAATTCGTGCTCAATTTTTGGAATATTGGCATGTGGCACTCTTGCAAAGTCTTAATATCGTGTGATTTCTGTTTTTGTCAGCTTGTGTGGATCCACAAAGACAGGCACATCTTACTGACTCTGCATGATCAGGTGATCACGCGGAATCCCCGCATCTCCATTAATCACAACAATTTCAGAACCTGGTGGTTGGAGATCAGGGACGTCAAGCTGGAGGACAGTGGGCAGTACATGTGCCAGATCAACACTGCCCCCATGATAAGTCAGACTCGCTACTTAGAAGTGGTTGGTATGTATTCAGTTTACACTCCTCAGAAATTTTAATTTAAAGAAACATATTATTTCTCAAGAATAGATTACAACTGTACTTGTTTAATTTTTTATGCAGTACTTATAATCGATACATTTGTACAAGTATATGGTTGTGCAAACTTTTATTTTTTACATCAGAACCATAATACCGCCTCGTTAATTGCTTATTAACAATTTTAAAACATTTCTTGGGAGCAATTTTGTTTTTAATTCAAAAATGGGTCATCTAGTAGTGAATGCTTTAAAATATATATGTTACTCTGAAGGACAGAAATTGGTGGTTGTTGACTTTCCCCGGTGAATGTTGACAATCACATAGTCGCTTTAGTAAATGTCTGAAATATATACTTGGTCTAGCTAAGTGCCACTATCTGGTATACTTTTGCTCGGTATGCCCTACATCAATGTATTTTAAGATTCAGTGTCATTGCCCGGCATGCCCTACATCAATGTTTTTTCAGATCAAGTGCCACTGCCTAGTATGCATATAACCAGTACTCCAAACACTGATTTTTCTCACAATCTATCCTCTGCAGATATTAAAATATTGAATATAATAATATCAAGGAATAAATTTTTAAAAAAAATAGTGCGTGAAAAAAAATAGAAAAAAAAATAGTCCCTCCACGCGGAAGAAGTTAAACTTCGAACCTGCGACGTTAATTGTAGAAGAATCAGCAGTCGTAGAAGGATCACTAGTTCTATTCAACGACTCTTTTTCATGCTCGTTTCCGTGCTCTGTAATCACGGTATGGCGGTACAAGTAACGAAAGTAAAAGTACAGTCATATATGATGAGTAATATTTCGGGGACATTTTTCAAAGCGACTATGACTGTTGACATTCACCGATGAAAGTCGACATTGTCTTGACATTCTTGACATTATTCACGGTAACTTATACATTTCAACTTTCTCTTTAATTTATATATTTTTGAAGCTCTAATTTTGTAAAAAAACAGCCCGATATTCCTTTTTAAAAATTGTAATTCAAAATAAAATTAAATATTAAATTTAAATAAATTATTTATAACATTATTGTAGTCATTGCGCACTTACAATAACGTAAAAAATAACTATTTCGTTAATAGTTATGTATCAAATATCTATTCCATAAATAATGAAAACCTATTGCGTGTCAGATAATCAGTTTTGCTATGAGCATGTGCCGACTAGTAAGTGGACTGTTTTTCATGAAGTCTTTTTGTATCACCTTCAGCAAAGTGTGGTATGATCCCGTAATCAATAACAGGTGTCTTATCCAACCCATTAGTGAATAAAGCATTAAGCTGATTAACCTTAAGTATGTATGAGTCGGCCAATCAGCGAGAGATATTATCCCGAACAGCATCATTAATTCCGATGCTCTCTCTCTCTCTCTTTCTCGTGTTTCCTCTACTGGAAATATTCCGAAAACTTGACATTTGTATTTTCATTCGTCATTTCACGTGCAAGTAACCTAAGTTGATGCCTCAATCAACCAAACTTTCAGCCAATTTTTTTCGAAATTACACAACTAATTAATTTAATTTATTTAAAGATGCAACACTGCTTTATTTTCCAGTTTTCGTTAACAACCAAATATATTCTGCTTCAAATAATTTTTGTTTTTCTTATTCACGTCTGACAAATCTAGAGAAAAGAAACCTGTTTTTGTGCCCACGAAACTTTTACTTCAAAATAATAGAATAAGGGAATACAGCAGAAATGGGTAAAAATTATAGAAGGATTATAAACTTTTCACATGCATTTATAATCAAGAAAAAAAATTTTTAAAAACTACATTTTCTGGTTTTTTAGTATGCGTTTTTCTACATTTTTGTCTAGACTACGTTTTTCTAAAAAAAAATAGTATTAGTTTTTAAAGCAAAAAAAAAAAAGACGTAGAGAGCAGCATTTTCAAAAAACCTTCGGGAAGATATATAACAGTATTAGAAGTTTATTTACTTAAATGATGCCCTCAACATTCGTTAAGATTTGATATGCTTTTCAAACGTATAAAAATGAAAATATTTTTTTNATCCCGTAATCAATAACAGGTGTCTTATCCAACCCATTAGTGAATAAAGCATTAAGCTGATTAACCTTAAGTATGTATGAGTCGGCCAATCAGCGAGAGATATTATCCCGAACAGCATCATTAATTCCGATGCTCTCGCTCTCTCTCTTTCTCGTGTTTCCTCTACTGGAAATATTCCGAAAACTTGACATTTGTATTTTCATTTGTCATTTCACTTGCAAGTAACCTACGCTGATGCCACAATCAACCAAACTTTCAGTCAATTTTTTTCGAAATTACACAACTAATTAATTTAATTTATTTTAGGATGCAACACTGCTTTATTTTCCAATTTTCGTTAGCAACCAAACATATTCTACCTCAAATAATTTTTTTGTTTTTCTCATTCACGTCTGACAAATCTGGAGAAAAGAAACCTGTTTTTGTGCCCACGAAACTTTCACTTCAAAATAATAGAATAATGGAATACAGCAGAAATAGGTAAAAATTATAGAAGGATTATAAACTTTTCACATGCATTTATAAACAAGAAAAAAAATTATTAAAAACTACATTTTCTAGTTTTTTAGCATACGTTTTTCTACATTTTTGTCTAGATTACGTTTTTCTAAAAAAAAAAATAGTATTATTTTTAAAGCAAAAAAAAAAAAAAAAAAAAAAANAAAAAAAAAAAAAAAAAAAAAAAAAAAAAAAAAAAGACGTAGAGAGCAGCATTTTCAAAAAACCTTCGGGAGGATATATAACAGTATTAGAAGTTTATTTACTTAAATGATGCCCTCAACATTCGTTAAGATTTGATATGCTTTTCAAACGTATAAAAATGAAAATATTTTTTTTAAATTAAAACATTTCAAAGGAGAATGGAATTTTTACATGCCCCGAGAATCTTGGGCTATATAATTTTTTTCAAAAGCAATGTAATTATATTTGATAGTTACCCATGACGAGAAATATTATCGTATCGGCGCATCTCTACTATGAAATTCGTGCGTATTTGAACCGGTACTTTTGTTTACTTAAATAATCTTAATTTTATATTTTCTGATAATTATTGATCTAACACTACATTAAATAGGCTCAATCAAAGCAGCTTTATCATAAATTCAGCTTCTCACCTGGAGAGTCAAGGCCTGGTTTCTTAGGACATGTCGGCGTTACACAACGTCAGCTGGAAATCAGCGCTAACACCTTATTGGTCAGTTTGTCAGCTAGACAGCATACGTCATCGAACGCTCAGCTTGAACAACGACTGACGCCCGAATCAACTGTTGTCGGATTACAACGTAGCGTTAACGACAGAAGCAATGGCGAACAACAGCCAACAGAGCATTGAAATCAGCCAAGATTTTGATTTTAACATTAAACAATGCTTCTTCTTCTTCTTCATTTAGCTAAGCTATAATGTGTTTTTTCTTGGACAAAATCATGATTTGTTCTCTAAATCACCAGTTGACGATAACAAAATCAATACAAATTCGAAATAAATACTTGTTTACGTTATTAACGCTTCATCGAACGCTCAGCTTGAACAACGACTAACGCCCGAATCAACTGCTGTTGGATTACAACGTAGCGTTAACGACAGAAGCAATGGCGAACAACAGCCAGTAGAGCATTGAAATCAGCCAAGATTTTGATTTTAACATTAAACATTGCTTCTTCTTCTTCATTTAGCTAAGCTATAATGTGTTTTTTCTGGGACAAAATCATTATTTGTTCTCTAAATCACCAGTTGACGATAACAAAATCAATACAAATTCAAAATAAATACTTGTTTACGTTATTAACGCATGCGCAATGCGAGATATTGTCTGAGTTGGACCGACTGCTGACATTGAACTGACTAGGGCCTGGTTTGTTAGGACAGGTTGGCGTCAGCGGGACGTTACGGGACGTTAACGTCCCGCTGACGCCCAGATAAGGAGCTTGTCCTAAGAAACCAGACCTTCAGTCGCTAAATCATTCAATTGCGATAATGCAGATGAGCTAGAATACTTTCTGAGAATTTGTCTAGTGTAAATTGAGTGAATATGTAAGAAATGTTGCAGCAAAAGTTGATAGGCATTTTTTTCTTCTTGTTTTACAGTGCCTCCATCTATTGTCGAACTTAACACGAGTTCAGATCTGAATGTGAGAGAGGGTGCCGATGTCAATCTTCAATGTCAAGCATCCGGATCACCAAAACCAATCATCAAATGGCGAAGAGAAGAGGAGAAAGACATCATACTGGGACCAAAACGAGGTATTCCCTCCCCACCTTCCTTATTGTAAACTCTATTTTAAAAAATTAATTCAAGCACTACGTATGTAGGAATAATAATTGCAAGGAATTGTTGTTGTTGTTCATTTACGTCGCACTAGAGCTGCACAATGGGCTATTGGCGACGGTCTGGAAAACATCCCGGAGAATGATCCGAAGACATGCCATCGCAATTTTGATCCTCTGAGAGGGGATGGCACCCCTGCTTCGGTAGACTGACGACCTGCACGCGAAGTCGAGCACTTTACGGTAAAACAGTTTAACAAGGACCCACACCGCACACCTTCGGTCCCCACGCAGGCTGATCCAAGTGGTCACCCACCCTCACACTGACCGTAGCCAGTGATGCTTGACTTCGATAATCTGCTGGGAACCGTGTCTTAACGATCAGTCCACTGCGGGACATATTTGCAAGGAATTAGTGGTTTTAATTGCCTGCAACAATGTTGTTAAATGCACTGTTAAAAATTTCTCAGAAAAAATTGTTATGTAACAATTTATTTAATTGTTATTTTACCATATTCAAATAAAGCAGTCAAATAATCATAAATAGATGGTATCCCAGCAAAAACATAAGTTCTGGCCATTCATAAATAAATGGTATTCAAACTATTAACCGTGAGAAAAATCTGCCTTCACCTAATACGGTTAAACAACAAGAATTTTACCGCGCCAACGTGACTCACCTAATGAAGCCACTTACTTCCTTGTAAGTGGATACATATTATAGTCGAGAGTAATCTCGTGATAGACAGAACGGGTGTAGGAATCCCAGCGTTGACATCACAATATTTCATCCGCATGAAAAATTTCAAGTGGCTTGCACTCCGCAATTTGTGACCCAGGGCTGTTAGAATACAATACTCAAAGATTGCAGCACTATAAAGCTACTGAACTGCTAGAACTATGTTCATTAAAAATTCTGTTTTTACAGTATTAAAACCATGCTAATTGTAAATGGTTAAAAAAGCGTATAGTTTCGTATTTATGGTTTTTTAACCTTACTAGTTGTAAACGGTTTCAAAACCGTTTAGTTACAATAAATGTTGTTTACCGTTAACTTACTGTTAATTGGTTGAACAGACTGCTGCCGGCTATTTCACTATTATTTGGGAATGAAAATTCAAATAGTATGTTAATTTCATAGAAAACCGTAGAGTCCAACTCAGACAGAAAAATGATTCTATTTACTCTATGGCTAGCAGTATAAACTTCAATTTCCCTGTAGTTTTGGCTTCTTTGTTAACTTTGAAAAAGTATAAAATATTCTTACGATCTTAGAATTTAAAATGTGTGCTTGACTAAATTTTTTTTTAAAAAATACCTGCAGAAAATCTGTTGGTATTATATCAATTTTTAAAAGCTTTCGATTATTTAAAATTTTCAATTTGTCGATGATTAAGAATAGACTCTGCTAATAAAACAAGAAGATTTTTTTATTTATTTCAAAAAGCTTTCCCTATTATCTACAACAAAAAAACAAGGAAGCAAACAGTTCTCCCAAGTAAAGCCTGGTGATCAGCCGTATTGCGCAAAACATCTTAAAATGAAGTCTTCAAAATGGCTAAAATAAATTTCTTTTAAAATCTGCAGTTATTTTAGAAAATCTCTAAAATATTTATAAAATTTGAATTTGGATGATCGGGATTCGATTCACCGCGCGTGTCTGATAGCATTCAATTTTCTTTGAACGTACCTTTCTGCCACTTTAATGTGATGTCCCTCGGCGGTTGAGGATCATTGCTGCGAAGATCGGAATACCAAGGATGAGTTCCATACCATAACTAAATAACACATTAGATGTTAATAACCAAAACTGTTGTGTGTAGATGTTAATAACAAGTGTAGCAATCTCTCTCTCTCTCTCTCTCTCTTGTAGTGAAGACTGTAGAAGGAGAGTACCTGAAGCTGAAGAGGACCAGCAGACTAAGCATGGGAGCATACCTGTGCATTGCCACTAATGGCGTACTGCCCTCCGTCAGCAAGAGGATCATGCTCAACGTCCTCTGTAAGGATTTCTTTTTTTCTTCCTTTTTTTTATCATACCGTAAACCGGGGCGAGTCTACCCATTTTTTCAGTTTGTCAACTTTCAAGTGGTCAAACTTTTGTAAATATTAAAGAAAAAAGGCTTTTAATAGGTGTTTCGGAATGGCTATTTATCCCTCTTTAAAGCTGTGAAATCGATTTTAGAAAATATTAACAGTTATGCTGTTACTGTATATTTTTACAGAATTACTGACAAATCTCCCGTATGGGGCGAGTCTACCCATTCTACTAAAATGAATGTTAACATTGTAAATAATCAAATTTTACTATTAAATTGTTATTTTAGTTACTATATAGGATATTTATGAAGTAAAATTCATAACTTTATTATATATTCCATTTTTTTATTCATAAAATAACACAAATTGAGTATTTGATCGATTATCACATTTTGATCACAGTTTTGTTTTTATAATCATTAACATTATAAAATAACATTTTTTTCTGATTATTGTTGATAAAAATAAATTAAAATTAATATAAATTTACAATTAAATAATTAATAAATAATAATAATTAAAGATTATTAACAAAATCGAAATTCAAACATTGGGAATCATGAAAAATCCTTTTCCCATTCTTTTGGGAGGTAATAATAATTTATAAATAATAATTTATTTAACTTGCATTAAATAAAAAAAGTTAATTTTGTAATATAAAAATTGAAAAAATAGGTAAAATAAACATATTTTATATTTACATTTATATTTAACCTATAAATTTTCTTATTAATGATAAATTTATCAATGCAGAATTAAAATAATATACTCAAATTCATTTAAAATGACTTAATTTTAATATAAACAAAGTTCTAAATTATATTATTATGCTTTATTAAAACTAAATACGAATGGGTAGACTCGCCCCGCGAATTCTGGCTTTTTGTTTACAACAGCAAAACTTACATTCTTTTTGTTTTTTTTTAATATAAAATTAATGTAATCTTAGTCTTAGATAAGTTTATCACTTAACCAAAGTGAAAATAGTAATAAAAATAATATACTTACGGAGCACCAACTAAAAGTTTGCTGATTTTCAATACAAATCTCTCAAAAGACGTTTGAACAGCTCGGTTAAAAAGACACCAAATAAATAAACACGGATCAAACTACTACAACGCCATCTTCCTTAGAGTCTGAACTAAGTCCTCCGTCGGTAAAAAAAATTTTATTTGTAATTTAAAATGGTGAAAATTAAATAAAACTAAAATGGGTAGACTCGCCCCGGTTTACGGTAGTTCTTTATTTTGTCCTTTAAAAGATTCGTGGTGAATTGTTTCTTTTTTGCAATCCTGATTGTTAACTTTGTTACGTGATTGCAAAACTTGAAAAGTTGTTGGCAGATGTAACCGAGGTGTGCTTGAAAAACTATTTATTCTATGAGTAAGCCGTCACAGACCTCAACTATATTGCAGAGAGAAAGCAATCCACACCACAACAGGAAAAAGAGAAGTTCCAAAACAACACTAACGATTTCAATAATTCAATTATATTTCATAATACTTAAAATCATTAATTTTGTTAGATATTATGAGGGAATATATAATTAAAACTCTATACGGGTTGGCACAAAAAGGTTCGGGAAGATCAAGTACGTGCTGATTCATGTCTCGATAAATGACAAGATTTTCATCTGCCATTCTTCACAGATATATTAGAGAGCTTGGTTCTTTTTGGGGAGGATTCACATTCGAGTGTTCCAAAAGGGAGATTGGACCAGTGGTCGGAAAAGCTACATTTTCCAAACTACAACTACTTTCCTTTTTTTAATGCAGCGACTACAAACTACTTTCTTCGAAATGTAGTCACGACTTTAGAAAACAAACTGGAGGACTTAATTTTCACCAATATTCAAAATGGTTTTGAACAAAAAATTGGCTTGGTTGAATATGAGGAGATATTAAGTAGTTTTAATTCATGTTTACATGAATAGTTTTTTTTTTTCAATTCGAAAGCACTTTCTTACGAATTTGTACTTCTAACTTTTAAACTAAATGCCTTTCTCGACAGGGATTTAAGAAATGCTAAGAAATTTATAATGTTTTTTAGCATTACTCAGTTATTATTGAATTCGAGTTTGATAAGAGTAAATATAAGAATCAAATAATCTAAAACATGCTTAAGGGTGAAACTTGCGAGTGGTTTTTAGCGGAAAGCAAATAGAAGAAAAGCAGAAATATTGGCTGCTTTTTCTTCAGAGCACTCGCAAGCAATTACCGATTAATATTCCAAAAATGAATTTTTTTACTTATTTGATTAATTATATGTTTATTGTTGACTCCTACTGTGAATCGTTTTATCAAATTCAATTTTTTACAAGAATTCTAAATATATTTTTAGAAAATTGCTATCATGAAAATTTCATGTTATTCGTAAATAAATAAATTTTTATTGATGTTTTTTGATACCTGTATTATTTTTCATACCACACGTTATATAATGAACTTCCCGAACTAGAATGTTTATATATTTTCTGCTTTTACTTCCTCAAAACACGTTTTGTTAAATGTGTGTTCAACATTCCAGTTGCTCCAATGATACTGATTCCCAGCCAGCTGATTGGTGCAAATATAGGTGAGGACGTCACTCTGGTGTGCAACCTGGAATCCCACCCGAGGTCTGTGACTTATTGGGTGATCAGTGGTGGAATAGTCATCATCACCAATAACAAATACCGCGTGATGACAGAACCATCTGACTCACCTGCATCCTACAAAGTGAAACTGAAGCTCCTCATCAGGGATCTTAGACCCCAAGATTTTGGATCCTACACCTGTGTGGCCAAGAACTCTCTGGGGGAAACAGAGGGTGCCATTTCACTCTATGGTATGCTGCCCAGATACCAAAATAAGGTTTATTTTAACTCAGCAGAAACCTTTTAATCCCAGAAAGCATGTAACCTTGCATCTGAATTTTTCTTTTATTAACACGAAAATGTTTGTACTAAAAATCTTTTCTCAATAACGCAAAAATATTGCAGTTTCAAAGCTTTCATTCTAAAATGATTAAAAATTATTTTTAAAGCTTTTTTAAAAAGTATAACTCACTTAGGTTCATAATAGGATATAGGATCAAATTGCTTTGTTCATCAAAATTTCAAGACAAGGTGGATTTTAGGTGAGCATACAAGACTCGGAGAAAAAAAAACTTATAATTGCCGAGATTTAAGATTATTTTCACCTTGGGACTAGCTTTATTCAATGATTTTTATCATGCTTAAAAACTCTAAGTCCACCTCGATGTAAGGTTTTTATATAGAAGGTTGTTTTCCAAGGTTTCGGATTAGGGTAATGTACGTAAAATAGATCAGATTGTCTCAGATCTCGTTTAAAGGTGGATTACATGTAAGCAGCATAACAAACCTTTTTAGGTTTACATAAAAAGGTTTTTGCTGGGTGAAAATAAACCGTATTTCGCTATATGGGAATTTAAACCTAAAAAGGTTTGTAATACGGTTAAGGTTTAAGCCTGTTAACCTTAAAACGAGATCCGTGACCATCTGCTCTATTCCTCGCACATTACCCTAATCCAAAACCTTGGAAAACAACCTTCTATATAAAAACCCTAAATCGAGGTTGTCTTAAGATGTTCAAGCGTGAAAAAAATCATTTAATAAAAGCTAGTCTCAAGGTGTAAAATAATCTTATATCTGGGTAATTATAAGATTTCTATTCGCAAAATCTTGTATGCTCAGCTAAAATCCACCTTTTCGTGAAATTTTAATGGAAAAATGCAATTTGATCCTATCGCTAGTGTGACGTCAGCTAATACGTCATTATGTATCCATAGTGACAATACTTTTTAATAAAGCTTTGAAAAATAATTTTTAATCCTCTTAGGATGAAAGCTTTGAAACTGCAATAATTTAGCTTTATTTTGAATAAAAGGTTTTTAGTACAAGCATTTTCTTGAGAATAAAAAAAAAATTTCCGATACAAAGGTTGCTGCAAGGTTACATGCTTTCTGTGTGTGATGTGTAGTACGTGTAAATTGTATAAAAGGAAGATTACGTTTCTATTTTGTGTGAGTAACAAGAACTGAAATATCAAAAGGAATGTCCAGCCATAAACACGAACGATTAAAAGCGTAAGTTTTACAAAATTCTGAATGAGTTTTTTTCCGTATAGATGTTACCGGCAAAGTTTGAAATTCGCTATTCTATAGAATGCCTAGGCATTGTATATAATGCCTAAAACTAGTCATCAATGTATGAAACGATTTATATTTCACACATTTCCTAGGCATTCTATAGAATACCAAATGAGAAACTGACGAAGTATGCAACACATCTCCGATTCGTCAAAATGTCGTTAAAAAATGTCAAATTCAAAATGTTATTCAAGCCTGCCATGTTGCAGCAAGTATGTTAATTTCTCCTTTTTTATATGAAAATTTTGCTTCCCTTAAAAAGAAAGGCATAAATTATGTTTTGTACAATTTCATTTTTCTTTACGCATTTTGAATAAATTTTTTAATGGCACTTTTAAAATGCACATCATTTACATAAAATACATTACATTTTGCATACTTTGTACCTCAATAACATTTGTCATTCCATAGAATACCTAGATATTATATACAATGCCTAGGGAAAGTATGTAATACTTCTCTTAGTTCATATCTTGCCTAAAAACATCTGGCATAATATACAATGCCTAAGCATTCTATAGAATGCGTTTTTGGAGTTTCATACTTTGCGTATCATACTTTGGCGTATTTAATCGGCGTTTCATACTTTGCCGTATTATAGACAACAAAAAGTTGAAACAAGCTGAGATATAAGTTTGGTAAAAAATGAAAGGTTAAAAGGGATCAATTTGTATAAACTGACAGACTGGATCCTCTTCGAGAAGCGAGCTTGAATCAAAGAATATAGAGAAATCAAGCAAAGAACATCCCCTCTATATTCTTTGCTTGAATTACGGTTTAGAAGGTCAGAGAGCATAGAAACAGGGGTGAAACTTCGTAGTTTATGATGTTGATAATTTTAACCTCATAGTTTAATGATTAAAAAGATCATTTAATAATGCTAAAAACTTCCATATGAGCAATTCTACAAATAAACGCCAATTAGGCAGCCAAAAAAAAATTTTTTTTTCTCGGGAGCACACTATTTCTACATGAATTTTCTCTTTTTTACACCCTAAAAAGGCAAGAAAAAATCGTAAACATGAAATTTTTTCTTTGTGACATACTCTTTATGATATACTCAGATAAATCTGAGCGATTTATTCAGATAAAACGATTTTTACATAAATATAATATTATTATAATGTCTCTCTAAAATGTATTTATAGAGATTTCATACTATAAGATTAATTTTAGTATAAAAATAAAAAATTAAAAAAATTTAATCAAAGTTCATAAATTGAAAAAATCGGGAAAAACTTAAAATTCGTATTTTGTCATTTGAAGTATGTCACAAAGAAAAAATTTCATGTTCAATATTTTTTCTTGCTTTATTAGGGTGTAAAAAAGAATAAAATTTATGTAGAAATAGCGTGTCCCCCCCCCCAAAAAAAAAATTTTTTTTAAATTTTTGTTTGGTCGCCTAATTTGCTTTTATTTGTAGAGTTGCTCCTATGAGCAATTCTACAAATAAACGCCAATTTTCATACTAAAATATAATCTTATAGTATGAAATCTCTATAAATACATTTTAAAGAGAGATTATAATAATACTATATTTATGTAAAAATCGTTTTATCTGAATAAATGGCTCAGATTTATCTGAGTATGTCAGAAAGAGTATGTCCTACTTAAAGTATGTCGCAAAGAAGAAAATTCATGTAGAAATAATGTGCCCCCTCCAAAAAAAATTTTTTTTGGCCGCCTAATTGGCGTTTATTTGTAGAATTGCTCATATATCAAATTTATCCTTTTTTGTCTGAGTTATTTTTGAGATAATCTAAAATTATCAGTCGTTATGATCAATCTCAATAAATTCATCCAATAAATTTATTTCAGAGTTTTTTTGATTCCCAGATATGTAGTAATAGTTAATTTGCTAGTTTCCCTATTCTGTGTTTTTCTCTCACTGCTGTTAAAGTGACAGCAGCACATTACTAATAAAAATTTTAAACAATTTTAAAATCTTTTGAATGGGTGTCATGTTAATTGCAAATGATATTCAAAAAATTAAAATTAAATTAATCGGTAAGTCCGAAAACCAGTCATCTCCCTTTTTTTTCTTGCATTTTAAAGTTTAGTGCAATATAAAAAGTCGAAAACTAAGTGTAAGTACTTTTACCTATGATATAAAATCTTTAGGTCCTCTCACCTGGTATGGTACATTTAATGCAGCGAAATCTCAATTTAATTCGAAACTATAACATATCCTGAAAGTGACCGTTTCTCAAACTAAATTGGAAAGATTAGTCATCTCCAAGTTCTAATTATTTTTAAAATTAAAAATATTAAGTGTTGTTGTGGAAAAATTGCAGTTGAATATTTTGTAGCCAATGATAGCGATATCAAAAAAATAAAAATACAAATCGTTATATATAAAACTGATACTAAACTATGCACTTTCTTATCTCTCTTGAAAAATTAGTTTTGTTGGAGATGACCAGTTTTCGAACTCATTGATTCAATTAAAGTATTTACCTCTTGTGACTCCCGTGCTACATTTTAAATGATCAATATTTAAACTTTTTTTTACCGTTTACGACTACTAATGCTCAACTCCGTAGACTTGTAATTTTGAACCCAATCCAGAAGACAAGGGGCCCCTGGCCTGTTCATACTAACAAAATAGGTGAAAAAGATCCAGTCAAGAAACCATATTGGGTCAAAGCTCTTCTTTTGACAACAAATGGAAGACCAAAAAATGTTTAAAAAAATTATGGCTCTCTTCTGTAGAATCAAATTTTTAAGTGATTGGGATAAAAAACTGTTAGTCCACGTCAAAAAAAAATAGATTGCCTGGATAAATCTTCAACAGAATACCTTGGCCTTTGAAAAGGGAAAATGAAAAAAAATAGATATGTTTTAACTTTGATGCTCGTAGCAATCAGCTTCCTCACTCAAGTACATAGTATAGTACTACTCTGTACATAGTATAGTACTTCTCTGTACATAGTATAGTACTACTGCGTAGTACTCTGTCTCAACGATAAATGTACGCGATCTCTCTTAAATGTACCTGATAAAAAATATACCTATATGGATATCAGTTCTTATAGATAAGGATATTAGTTCTTATATTATTATTAGTATATAATTTCATGTATCTGTTTCTTTAATTTTGAAACGCAAGCTTAATGGGAAAAAAACTGAACGAAAATATAGAATTTTGTAAAAAAGAACGATGGGTTATTAATAAAAATTTCGAGTTTGGGACATTTGTGAAGTATTTTAAAAAAAAGTGCAATAAAATTAAAATTAACAATCTTTGTACTACTTCATTAAATACTAAAAAAACATAAAATAATTGATTTCAGAGATATTTTCATATAAATTCTGTTATAGTAAGTAAAAAATCATGTCGGCAGAGCATCGCCAACAACAAAAAGTCATTTAAATTCTTTATTTCTGATTGAAAAATTAATGGCTAAGCTCTGTGGGATATTTTTGTTTACATTTTTGAAACTTTTGTATTTTTCTAGAATCTTCAAATGTCGATCATAAAAATACTTCAAGTATCACTAACAACAAAATCACTCTCCATTAGTAGATGCTCACAAAAGTCCATCTTATACCGGATCAATTAATTCAATTATTAACTGCAACTTTGATCATTCGAAATGACAAAAAAAATTTACCATCTTTAAAAGAAGAAACAAAAGAACTGAAAGCCTTAATTTTTATTGCGTTAATGCATTGCAAAGACAGAGAAAAGAGCGGCATTTTCTTCATCTAATGAGGCTTCGATTCTTAAATTTCGGATTTCAATGATATCTTTCTCTTTTTTTACATAATAATTTTAAAGGTATTCGTGAAATAATCATGGAGAAAACAAAATAAATTGTCTTTACATAAATGAATGTATTAAGATTTTTCTTATCAAGCATGTTTTTTTTTTTTTTTACTCCTTGCTTTAATTCATTTTCCAATATTAATTTTTGAAAGTGTAATGATATGTTTTTTTTCTGTAAATATACGAATAATGACTAAAAACTGCAATTTGTTTTTCTTTCTAGAAAAAGCACAAAAGAAACCCATTAGAGTTTATTATTTTTGAAACAATGATAACTTAAATAAAATATAAAACGTAATAATATGAGTTATTATTTTTAATTTTCGGTAACAAAAGACGGTATAGAAAAATTACCAAAGCTTCAATTATTTGAACCTCATAATCCAATGTTGTAATTAAGTAAAAGTGTTCTGTCACTATGATTAAAAAAATTAACTTTATTGAAAATCTTTTTTGATTTTAAATTAGATTAGATTTTGATTTCTTGTTATTCGAAGGCGATTTTTATATCCAAATAATAATTTAAATGTGATGCAAATTTTAAAGAATATACAGTGAAAAGGTTTTTGTTTAATTTGTGGTTGTTTTTTCTTTCAATGCTGTTCAGCCAAACCAAGTGAGGGAACAACGAACTCAGAAGAAGAGTATCAAGTGTATGACAAAAGTGAGTGATGACTGAAAACATTTTCAAGTGTTATTTAATTTTGTAAAGCGAAAAGTTTTTGGTTTTTTAGTTTTGACTAAATCAGTTGAAAAATCTTCTATAACCATATTTAATGTTTTACTGATTATACACTGTAAAAAAATCGGTAAATATTTAACCAGTATTTGGTGCAAAGTTTCTTATTATGCTAAAGTTTAGTTAAACGAAATATCATTTTATTTCAGTTACACTATAAATTGTGAAGTATGATCGAGAAATATTTCCATGGTGCAACTGACTGCACCAAAATTTGGTAAAAGGAGCAAAACTTTGACGGTGACTCTAAACTAAACGATATTTCTTTACGACGCCATGAATACCAATTTTTGGTGCAACGTGGCTCAGAAATTTTAACAGTGCACCACGAAAAATGAAATAAATGCATTGTTTCACAAGTTCAAGACATGAATTCGGTTGAAATTAGATTTGGAAAAAAAAATTAAAAAATGCTTATGAAACATTAAATCTTGTTTTGAAATATAATATTTAATTTCGAGATTGAAATTTATATCAAGAGAACAAAATTATTTGCAAAAGTGATCTATAATAAAGTTTATTCTATATCTATATATTTACAAAAATGTGTACAAAAATATGCGATTTTTCATACTTTGCAATAAGGTTTAAAGCTTTCAGAGGTTTGACGTTCCGACAGTAAATTATGAAAGAAAACTAGTATTATTTAACACCCTATACGAGAAAATCTGCCAATAAGTTTGTAACTTGTATCGATTATTTTAATTGTCATTTACAGCAATTACATAAAACTTCGAAATTCTTGCTTAAATATTTATAGAGATATGGACATTTTTATAAAAAACTAATTTTTTTGCTTCCCATTTTTTTGCCATAACTTTAAATATATTCTGGGAAATTAAGCAAAATTTTTGTACCAATTTAAAATTAAAGACAATAATTTTGTTTTAATATTTGAATTTTTAATTCTGTTTCAAAATTCACTTATAACTACGTATTTTAAGTAGTACTGTGTGTTTAAAATTATTACCATAATTTTGCAGTGAATCGTACTTGGCAACTAATGAAAGTAAATCTTAATTGAATATCTTAAAAACGTAAAAATTTCCCAGTAATTTTTATGAAGTTTTCGTAATTTTTAAAATAAAGCTCAATATGATCAGGGGCTTTCCTTAAAATTTTATTTTATTGTAATGTGGATGACGCTGCCTTGTAAGTCAAGACATCGAGAACAAAATAAATTTGTGGAAAATCCCCAATCAGTTTGGGCTACATTTCAAAAACTGCATAGAAAATTGCTCGAAATTTTCTACATTTTTATAAAAGTATGTTGAATTGTTACTGTTGCTTAAATTTCCCTTATTATTAAAAATAAAGTTCTTAAAGTAATAAACAGCCTATTTCTCTTTTTTTTAACATACCTAATAATAAAGGGAATCTATTTCATATTTCAAGCAAAAATTATTGAGATTATTAAGAAAGTATTTTAGAATTTTATCAATTGGTACATGGTAAAAGGATCTAAGTTTTATGTCCTTCATTATTAAATTTCTTAGTTCTATATATTCTTAAATATTTGATTTACTAGTAAATAATATGTTTATGATGTATATACACAAATTCAAAATATTTCTCTTCTTCGCAGTGACATTCATAATCAAATATATTTTCCCAAAACGTTTGGTATTATCATAGTTAAAAATAATTCTACCAAGAACTGAGAAACTTTAGAAGAACTTTTTGAAAGTTATTAACAAAATGTGCATTATTCAAATTTTTATTTTTATTTTGTGGAATTTTACTTATTTTAGCTATTACAAGTGAAGTGTAAATTAGTAAATGAAAAGTTAATAAGATCTTGAAGTTCCTGGCCAAATTATTAGACGTACTGTAAGATTCTATGTAAAATCTTAATTATCAGGTAGGATAATCTACAACTTTAATGTTTTTGAGTGGCTGAAACCGGTTTGCACTTATTTATGTTCATGTATTAATTGGTTAACATTGTAATGCAATGCGTTAAAAATAAATACAAATGGGACGTATATAAAAAATCTCCTCTATAAAAACTCATTACATTTATGTTTGAATATAAGAGCATTGCTTATAAACTCGTGCTAAACATGCAATTATTAAAACACGACGGTGAGTCTAATAACTTGATCTAACTATTATAATATACTAATATAATGCCTGATATAATAAATATTCGGTATTTATATAATATATCGTCTCATTTAACCAATTTATACACTAACGTAAACAAGTGCAAACCGGTTTCAGTCATGTAAAAACCATAAAGCTGTATAGTATCACCTGATAATTAAGATTTTACATAGAATCTTATAGTGCGTATAATAATTTGGCCAACGATTGTAGGTATTAGACTGCCCTGATAAATATAGGCTGATAAATATAAGCTAACAAATATAAGACTGTCCTGAACACTTCGATACTATATTTTGTGGACAGTTATCCCATCTGCAGTCAAAATTGTTATGGCATGTCTTCAGATCATCCTCAGGGATGTTTCCCATCACGCAAAGCAACTCTAGCGTTGCACTTCCACTTTGTACAGATCTCGGGCGACGCGAAAAGCAATAATGCGGTAAGATAAACTGAATCTGGTTATCATTTAATTAAAAGCAGATACAGTCTGATGAATTTCTACCTCTTACGTGGATCATCACATCAAATTTTTAAATCGAAAATAACGTTCAAATGCAAGCTGAGTATGATACCTCAAAACCTATACTTTTATACCTGTTACAGATGCATCCACTGTTGCCAATTTTACATAAATATACTGAAAATCTAATCATTTGCACACTGTTAAAATTTTCTTTCCTAAATTATGGTAAAATAACTGGCCAGCTGTCTGTCTATCAGATCAACCGTAAAGTTTACGGTAAAGAGCATTTTTTTCCTTTATGGTTTTGAAACCATTTACAACTAGCATTTTTCAAAAATGTAAAAAAAAAAAACTTATATTTAACTAGACATAGGAGATAAGGTTAAATAACAATTTATTGAATGGTTATTTTACCATATTTAATCAAAACAGTCAAATAACCATAAATAAAATGGTTATCAAACTGTTAAGTTTGAGAAAAACTGTTTATTAACTGCTTTCACCTAATACGGTTAAACAACGAGAATTTTGTCACACCCACTAGAACCATCTAATGAAGCTACTTAGTTCTCTGCAACTGCGTGGATATCATATCCGAGCTGGTTTATCTGTCAGTCTCATAACCGGCAGAACAAGAGTTCGAGTCCTAGTGTTGACACCACACTATTTCCTCCATTCCCTTCAACACATGAAGAATTTACAGTGCCAGGCACTCTCCAATACCCATCACCTTAGGAAAAAACGAGCTCCCATGTCTAGTTAAATAAAATTTAAAAAAATTTTCGTTTTTGAAAAGTAGGGGAGAGTGGGGTCAATTGTAACATTTTTTACTTAACTCTTTTTAACTAACAAAAAATCCAATATATTATTAGTATTAATTGACAGACGAGTAAAGTAGACTATCGTCTACTAGAAAAAAAAATAAATACCTTATTTTGAATGTTATTATATTAGTTATTAACAATTTTTGACAGTCGTGCACTTGTTACAATTGTCCCCACTTACGGGGTCAATTGTAACAGTTCATAAATTCAACTAAAACATAGTTAATTATACATATTATCATAGTTGTGATATATTTTTTTATTGATCAAAATAGTAGTGATATTTTAGGAGTAAAAATAATAATGAGCAGAGACCTAAAGGGTTAAACTTTTAACTTTAAGGGGTTAAAAATTTTAATTTATGCTGTGAAAGGTGACAAATAAAATAATGCACATGCAACATAATATAAATGATATAGGAAACTATTGGTGGTTCTTAAAGAGTTAAGTAATGGTTTGTAAACATAAGATTATTTATTTTCAGCTGTTACAATCGTCCCTTTACTTATTGTTACAATTGTCCCCAAGACGCCATTTCAGCTTCATTTGTTAAAAACAATGCTAGTTAATTAGCAAAACTAATCTTTTTTTTTATTGAAATGTTAATTAAAGTGTCCACTTACATATTCGGTTAATAATTTTTATTTGTTTAAACAAAATTACTTTGTTACAATATAATATTCTAATACCCAAAAAAAGTACTTGCGTGGCGTGAAAATATCTTTTGTGATGTAATTCTTTCAAAAGTACATAAAAATCGTTGCCAGCAGGGGTGTACATGTAGATTTATTAAATACACCTTGTGCGCCACCTAGGAACCAAATCTAGAACCCGACACTCGAAATTTTTGCTCTGTTACAATCGTATCCTGTTACAATTGACCCCACTCTCCCCTACTAGTTATAAATGGTTAAAAAACTGTATAGTTTTGTATTCATTGTTTTATAATCATACTTTTTGTAATAGGTTTTATAAAGGGAATAAATGTTCTTTACCGTAAACTTTACGGTTAATCGGATGGGCAGTCAGCTGCCATTTATTTTACCATAATTTTTGAATGAAGATTTTAGCAGTGTATCTGACTTAAATAACCAAAGTCGTTGGTAATAATCTTCTTTTAACAAATAAACGAACTCAAAATGAGTTATAAATATCCAAATTCAACACCTGTATAATTAAAAATATTTTCTTTAAGTTTTCATTATTATGGATTTAATGATATAACAAACTAATTTTCCTCCTTCTTTTCTAAAAACAGGTGAAATTTCAACTCCTATTGAAACACTTAAAGAAGTTTCCAAACCAATAGCTGACAACATTAAGCTGGGAATGCCCAGTGTACCATTTAAACCCATTTCAGGTAACACAAGTCACACCATCTTCTTTTTTTCTTGTACGCATTACCTTGAAAGACCGAAATCGGGGGAATGTCGACTTTCATCCATGAATGTCAGCAATCACATAATCACTTTTGGGAATGTCAGAAATATTTGTTATAGCCAATTTGATATTCATTGATATTTTAAAAAATCATTCGATATTTGATTATCCGATTTGGATATTTAAGGGAAAACATCAGTGTTGGCAATACCGGGCAAATATATACGGAACAGTGACAGTTAACCTTAAAAAATATCAATGAATCAGTGAAGGGAATACCGGGCAAATACACACAGGGCAAAGATTTTTCATTTTAAAAATATTTACAGGTAGAGAATACAAATTATTATCTCCACATATTTTCAATGGGGAATAGTAAAACAACATTTTAGGTCCAAATACATGACTGATTTGAAAACCAGTCTCATTGCTGTTACGGCCGCAGCATCGATTGCAGCTTCAATCTTGTATAAAAAAAGGGAGCATCTAACTTTTGAGAGAAAAACATTAAAAACTTGCCTTGATAAATTTGCCTTCAAGCATATAAATTTTTAATACATACATCTATTACACTTTGCAAAGTGCATCAATGAAATAAGGGCATTCAATTTCCCTTAACTTGCATTTAACTTCAAAAATTTACTTTCCTAAAGCATCAAACATTAAAAGTCAACTTCCATAAAAATATTGATATGAAATAACAATTTTTCTGCGTTTTATAATTTATCTTCAAAACCAAAGTCATAGGGGTCAAAGTCAAGTAAAATCAAAGTCATTTCTCAAATCTCCTCTTAAATTATACTCCCCTTTCCAAAACTTCACAAACATATTGGAAAAAGATTTTTTTTCCCTCTTTCTCTCTCTGAAAATGCTCTTAACGAATAGATAAGTGTGAGTCAGTTTTCTAAATATTGCGTTTCTTTTATGTTCTTAAAAAAAGGGTTTAATACTTTTAAGACAATATAAGGAAGACAATAAATTTAATCATTTATAAGTCAATTATTCTATTTTCGTTTCAACCAGATTTGCACTAATATATTTACTTATAATTGAACATTTTAGAAATTAACAGATCTGAGTTTTAAAAAAAATTATTGTATGCGTTTCNGAATTTTTCTTTCCTCTTTCTCTCTCTGAAAATGCTCTTAACGAATAGATAAGTGTGAGTCAGTTTTCTAAATATTGCGTTTCTTTTATGTTCTTAAAAAAAGGATTTAATACTTTTAAGACAATATAAGGAAGACAATAAATTTAATCATTTTTAAGTCAATTATTCTATTTTCGTTTCAATCAGATTTACACTAATATATTTACTTATAATTTAACATTTTCGAAATTAACAGATCTGAGTTTTAAAAAAAATTATTGTATGCGTTTTACAAAAAAAAAANAAAAAAAAAAAAAACTTTGTTATTGTAGATTAAACTGGAAATACCAGATCAATTACTTTTTATTACCGGCTATGAACAGCTTACGACTAATGTTCAACTCATCATCCTTATAAGTATGAACCTAACGCAGAAGACAAGGAACCTAGACCAAGAGTTGGAACAAACTTGGAGGACTTTCTGATGAAACTAACCAATAATTTGCGATACATGAAGAATAAAACCACGAAAAACCTCCATGGTTAGCAAGACGGCAAGGGAATTTTAACCCATGATCCATCTACCACTGAGGATATTTAACTTCAGCATTGTCGACTGTGCGAGCAGCGAACGAAATTCATGTCGACCAGCCATTCAAACGGATAATTTTTTAAGCTATTGTCGTGACTCTCTAATTGAAGTTCGATATCAGAAACTCTACTTTTATCGAACCAGTCACTACAGAAAAGTTTCAAAACATTTGGTGAAAACTGACAACAATATGTCACGTAAAGTCAACTAACTAAATAGTTTTTGATGTTTTTTAATTCGTTTTATTATTGTAATTAATTGAACATTTTAAAATTCACTAATGTAGATCTTTTTATCCTATAAAAATTTAAATGCATTTTAACCCTTTTAAGACCGGCAGAGGGAGAAATAAGCGCCTTCACCAGTTGCGCAAACTCCCAGTTAATACCTTCTAAAGAGTTCGCATACGTTCAGTAGTGTGTCTAACACGACAAAAAAGTACAATTCAAATAAGAAATGCTAACTCGATTCCGTGTTGGAGTACCTTTTCATACATGAATGTAGACATTGTCGATATGAATCTCCCCACATTGATGATCTTCAGACGCGATGTGCACACTCCTTACAAGACAAAAGCACCCACTTCGATTTAAACATGTCTATTTCGATGGCTGGTCCACACTAAACAGTTGACTTTCTACGTGTGACTGCCACATTATCCAGCTCCTCGCGCAGTTTCTACTCAATCTCGATCACACACAGCATCGGCCTGTATACACTCGACTGCTAATGGCTTCAGAAAAGTGACCACGATCGCGAACAGCACTCAAAAGTACGTTAATCTTAATACCGCTCTCCCGTCTTCTCACGAAACAGCAATGAATCAACCAATAGTATCCGTTCATCGAATTCTATCGCCGATTAAATTCAGCTGGAGCAGTATTGTAGTGCGTCTACCACTACAAAAAAGTACTATTCAAGACATATCAATTTGGTTCAAAGGTGGAGTATCTTTTCATACATGAATACCTTTTCATACGAACAACACTCAAAAATACGTTAACCTTAATACCGCTCTTCCTTCTTCTCACGAAACAGCAATGAATCAACCAATAGTATCCGTTCATCGAATTCTATCGCCGATTAAATTCAGCTGGGGCAGTACTGTAGTGTGTCTACCAATTAAAAAAAAAGTACAATTCAAGACATATCAATTTGGTTCAAAGGTGTAGTACCTGAATGTTGACATATTTAATTATGACTCTCTATACAGTTCTAATAGGAGAAGATCATATTGGGATCACGTCTTAGCCGCTAGAGTCAGAAAGGCTCGTTTCATACACGATGTCTTAGACAGTGAAGAGAGAGTTGCAGGATCACGTCTTAGGGACGTTAAAGCGATTTCTTTTCATTTAAATTAATTATTTTAGTCACTTTTTTAAAAATTTGTTTTTAAAGAGCAAGATTATTTAGCTTTTCTAAACAATATTCGTCTTTCTAACAGCAATAAAATACGTATGCCAATTCAATAAGAAAAATTGCATTCTCATTTGCGTTGAAATATTGGAGGAATGTCGTCTTTATTATTCTGTTGTAGGTGTTATGTATTACTGTTAGGTTACATTGTAATGAGTCTTTTATCTTTGCAGAAAGAAAAGAAAGAAGAGACGAAAACGAACGGCAAATGATAGCAACGAATACACTTCAAAAAGGTAACTTGGAGTCGCTTCATTAAGAACGAAAAATTTTCTAAACTTTTTCAACCATTATTGCACCAATTTACCAATTACACGATTTTTGAATGGTGTAATTATAACTTTTCTGTTTGATGTAACTGTACTTTTATCGAGAAAAATTCGGTCTTAAGCGTTCATTAAAACGTGAGTGATATTTTCTGCTGCTCATTTAAGTGACCTCATGTGTACAGTGAATAATAAATAAGTAAACGTTCGACCCTGGATAACTTTTGATGTAATGATCGCATTTTGATGTTCTAAGACTCAACCTCCATGGTTCGAGGGAGTGACCTAATTATTTAGTACAGGCTATATTTTAAGTTACAAAATCAAGGACAAAAGCATACTTTCTCTGAATAAATATACCTTTTTTAGACAGATTTTGATCGTGGATTTTTCCACAATTCCGCAATATATTTTTAGACAGATTTTGATCGTGGATTTTTCGACAATTCCGCAGTATATTTTTTAGACAAATTTTGATCGTGGATTTTTTCCACAATTCCGCAGTATATTTTTTAGACAGATTTTTATCATGGATTTTTACACAATTCGACAGTATCTTTTGATTCATGTAAATTAGAAAGTTATCTTCTAACTTAATATAAAGAGTCCGGTACTATGTATTCCCTTTTAATTTTTTCGGTTAAAATTATACCAATATAATTCTGCAACCAGCAGGTTTTGAAAGTTAGCTAAACAGTAAGCATTTTTCTTTTACATATTTTTTTATAAATATCTTTGTTTAAGTGCAATTTACGTTATAATAATTTTTTAGCATCCTTCAAATCAGAATTTATCCGGTTAAACTTTAATAAAATGAAATTTTGAGAAAAAAGTAAAACTAATAAATGTGTAGTTTTAGATCACTGACTTAAAACCTCGCATCACATACTTTTATTGTTTTAAAGGAAAATGCCATAGAAGTTCTAAAAACTACCAAGCATTATTTCTACGCGTGTAATAAAACGACCCATTACTTCTCAAATTTTTAAAAGACAATTTTCTGTTGAATTATCAAAAAATTCAAGAATTATATTAAAAAAAAATTTTTAAAAATCAAATATTTACCTTAAAATCTACACTGTTAAAATTTTCATTCAAAAATTATGGTAAAATAACTAGCAGCTGTCTGTCCATCCGATTTACCGTAAAATTTAAGGCAGAGAACATTTTTTTTTCCTTTAACGTTTTTTAACCATTCGCTACTAGTATTTTTCAATAAAGTAAAAAAAAAAATTACTTATTTAACTGAACAAAGGAGCTCGGCTTTTTGTAAGGTAATGGGCATTGAATAGGGGATAGCCGGACATTGTAAATTCTACATGTATTGAAGGAAATGTAGGAAATATTGTGGCGTCAACACTAGAATTCGAACTCCAGTCCTGCCGATCATGAGATGGACTAATAAGCCAGCTCGGCTATAATGTGTAAGTTGCAAAGAACTAAGTAGCATTATTAGGAGATTCTAGTGGGTGCGATAGAATTCTGGTTGCTTTAACGTAAAAGGTGAAAGCAGTTAATAAACAGTATTTCTCAAACTTAACAGTTTAACTACCATTTAATTTATGGTTAGTTGACTGTTTTGATTAAATATGGTAAAATGACCATTCAATAAATTGTTATTTAACCATTTTTTTCCGAGAAATTATAACAGTGTATGATAATGTGGAAAGAAGTCTGACGAGGGGGAAAAATATTAAGGGCGATATAAAGTCTAAAAATATGAAAAAAGATAATTGGTTTGCAAAAGCAGAAATAAAAGTGAAAATATTTAAAAATAACGGGCTGGCAAAAGCATAAATAAAATAAAATAAACACATAAAGAGATAAATTTAAAAAAATAAAATCAGACGATAAAATTAGAAGTCAATTTTTAGAACGACAGAGTTGTTTGTTTTCTTTAGATTAGTTTTTGTTTGGAATTTGAGTTCCTTATATCCCGTTACGGGTTTTTCTTGTTGTTTTATGATCTTTTCACTATCCCGTTACGGGTAATTCATATTTGTTACTGTTTGTGTTGTTTGTAAATAAAAGTTTTTTATAAAAAAAACTGAACAGTTCTTTAATATAGCTTGATACGCTACAGCGATGATATGGACTTTCATTCAAATCCCATGTTTTTCAGATATTCTTCAAAAAATAGACGTCTCTGCTTCACACATCGACAGTGTCTACTCCTCTCCGCTCTTTGTCCTCTTCCTCCTCTCCTCATATCTCCTCCTAATGATGTTCTCCGAATGAATTCCAATCAGCAGCACTCTTCATTACTTTTCAACGCCGCTTCACTACTTTTTTTCTTCCTGATGTTGTTCTGCTCTAACATTTGTGTGTTGGACATCTGTGTATATATGATTATCTGTCCAATAATGTGAAATATGAAGAACAATAAAAGTGTTACATTATTCCTCACGATGGCTTTGATTATTTAATATCAAACAAATCCGGTCACTTTTACTATCATCCATTTACTTTAAAGGACCAACACCTCCTAGAAAAAGAAAAGCCCTCCTCACGGGTTACCATAAACGAGAAATACGATCCCCTT